TAACTCAGTCAAATCTTACTCAAATTTAATAATTAAAGTGTCTATTTGAAACATATTTAAAAAACATGAATTTATGTCAAATAATCACTGAAGTCTGTGCAGAATTGAGTGAGAAATAGCTATTTTTTTGTTTTGTTTACTTTTGTGACAAAAAATGATGAATCATCAAGTGTGACAATACTTATGAAAAAGGCAGTAAAGGATCTCAGTTATCCTAGATTCCTAATAGATCCGCTTCCCGCTATTCATGAAACTAAGACAATGCTTCCCGCTGTTCCTGATTCTATTTGATGACCCGTGGCTTGTGCAGTGTACAGTACACTGTTGACACTGTTGCTCATTTCTTTCTGGAACGGCTCGTTTGAATAGTTTAGACTCTTGTCCCTGTAAAGGACCTTCCCAGTAGCAATACAAGCATTCAGACGGTCTGTCTCTGGCATCTGCTATCTCATCGAAGACTTTCCTGACAACGCGTTGGTCCGTGATGCCCACAGGTTTGTATCGAGACGTGGCTTGGAGTCCAATGAAAACTTTGACACGTATTCTTGTGTCTTTTTAAAAGTGTCATCTGGATCCAAAGGCAAATCCAGACAGTGTACAGTAGCTCCAGCATCTGTGAGTGCCATGGCCACTTCAAGGCCCATTCAACGTTGAGCTCCAGTGGCAACTGCAACTCTTCCAGAGAGTGAAAACTCCTTGTTGAATAGCATCGGTTTGGGCTTGTTCGATGGATTTGGAGCGTGGAGAGCCGCCTCGACACCAACAAGGCCAACGGACGGAGGTGCGTCCCGTCGTTGTTTCACCAGTGACATACTGAGCAATGGTTTGTGGATTATTCGATGGAGCAAGTCAGAGCGCCCTCGGATAAAACGGTTAGATGTGGTACGAGTAATGGGCAGGATCCTTCTGGCCAATGACAGTATAAGTAGACACATTGCTGGGCGTGGTTTACTAAACCAGGATGAAGTTGATTCATGCGCCCGTCGAAGTCTCTACAATATATAGTGCCAGCGATGTGTTAATAAAACCAGGTTAAGCTCAGATAACCTACCACGTCAACGGGACGAGGGTGGCTGCACGTCACCAAGAACGTTTTTGCTTCGATTAAGTACAAACAGGCAATCGCCTTAGAATTGTAAAGAGAAAATAACTTCATGACAAAGATCAGGCACTTTCCACCATATAAAGATTACAGATGAGAACGAAGATGAGCTGTGGCAAAAAGAGGGTTGGTTCGAAGTACAATGATTATCAAAAGACAGAGCCACTTGAGAATTTCACAGTGAGAACACAAGTTTCACTGCTTCACCACGCATGATGACCTCCACTGATAACGATACTGCAGGAAACACAGAAAAATCAGCGGGTCGATATTGAAACAACAAAGCAGGCTATAACTTGCTCGCTACCAGTGCAATAGGACGACGCATCAGACGCCAACCAGATTATGGCGCCACGAAGTTCTTTCGGGTGCCCAATCCGACCCAGAGGGTTTTGTGATGACCATTCCTCCTTCAGATCTGGGTATTGGTCAAGGCTGAGGGCTGTGAGGCTTCATGAGGTTAATTCGGTAGGTCCGGGTCAGTGATTTCTGTCTTTCAAAGAAACACCCGAACCACCTACGGGGTGTAGAAAAACCCTGGGGATAAAGTGTTCACTCTGATCCTCTCGGGTCCGAGTTCACAAGCCAGACTTCGTCCCATATGTATCACAGCTGCTTTGCTTGTCTGATACGCTATCCAATTCTGACCCTGAGTATGATGCAGATTTTTTATACGAGTCAGCACTTCAATGCATTGGTTGTGTAACGGATCATAGTACTAACTTTGGCAGCGACGATTCCCCCGAGCGATGCGATTAAAACAATACTCCCAGGCGATCCGAGCCTGACCATCTGGCGCCCTGCAGCTTGGGCAGTATGAAGGACACTATTAACGTTCACATTCATCACCTTCTGGAATTCCTCTGAAGGATAATCTAGACATTTCTCCGCATATAGGACTCCTGCGCCAGCAATGCAAACATCCAAACGACTCTCTTCTTTGGCTATTTTCTCAACGAGCTCCCAAGTTGCTTGTTGATCTGTGACATCTAAAAACGCATATTCGAGTCGTGCACTTTCAGAAAGCCCAAGCCTTTTGATATACGACTGCGTTGCCCTGAACGAGCTATCTGGTTCAACCGGGACGTCGAGGCAATAGACTGTTGCCCCAGCTTCTGCGAGTGCCTCGGCCATTTCAAGACCCAGACCACGTTGTCCACCAGTGACTACGGCAACGCGACCGTCAAGCGAGAACTCCTTTTGTAAGAGAGTTGGCTGGGGCTTTAAGGCTGGATCAGACGCAGCGCGAATGGCGGCTTCGACACCGACTAGTCCATGCAAAGACTGAGGTACGTTTTCCTGAAAATGAAGGGATGAAGAGAACCGTTTCCTGGAGAGTAAGGGATCACGATAGAATTGCGAAAGTAAAGAGAAGCATTTGCATGTTTCAGTAGTCTGAACGCTTTGGCTGATACTGAACTAAATGCGGGCATGATTGCTTGACTCCACGGGAGGCCACAGGCGTTCAGCTCTACCGCTTTCTACCCTTGTCCATAAATATGTTGGATGCATCGTCAATTTTAGGGGACGAATCACACACGTAGTCAATCGATAGAGCCAGAACCGCCACACGACACGGAAGAGTTGCTGTGTGAATTGTCAAACAAGTGAAATGAACTGGAAGGAGAAATAGTTCTCTGGATTAGAATTATAGTGTAGTAATACACGCGCAGTGGTCCATAGAAAGCTATCAGTAAATGCAGCTACTAAAGTCTAACTTTGGTTAGTATTTGAGAAAAAAAAAGGGGGCAAAACTGGACGTACAGCTTTCACAAGTCGGATTGTCCGTTGTGACAAATTTACATGGTTGGCGGAAAGTCTAAGATGAATGTCCGAGACAGCTTAAGATCAATTAAAAAGGTGCTCGACATTGCGGCACTTATTAATACATGTGTGCATACTACTCCACAAAATGAGAACCGAACAACAGTCATGTTGCATCAACGTCACCATGCATGATGTCCGCCACTAACCAGAATGCTACTCAAGGTGTTAAGAATAGATATTTACTCTGATATATGAAAGGTACACACTCTGATCCTGTACAGAAACTTGACGCGTCAGACGCCAGCCAGGTTATGACTCCACGCAATTCGTCTGGCCTTCCAAGCCTGCCGAGAGGATTCTGAGAGGACCATTCTTTAAATAGGTGCGGTTGCTTATCAAGAAATGCGGCCGTAAGACTTCGATGCAAGTCAACTAGGGTATTTATTTAGAGGACAACATAAATTACGTACGCAGTATAGATATAGCCGGGGGAAAGCGAATTCACTCTAATATTCCTTGGTCCCAGCTCACAGGCCATGCTTCGGCCCATCTGTATTACGGCTGACTTGCTTGTATTGTAGGCAACCCAGTGCTGCCCCTGCGATTGCCGTGTGAATTCGGACCAACGCGCTGCAATACGAAGCCGTCGCTCACCTTGTTGGTAACACTTCCACTCATAGAAGCGATCAAAACTATGCTTCCCGGAGTACCGAACTTTGTCATCTGACGGCCTGCTGCTTGAGCGGAATACAAAACTCCGTTTACGTTCACATCCATCAACTTCTTGAATTCTTCCGCTGGATAATCCAAGCATTCTTCGCCGCGCAAGATGCCGGCAGCGGCTACACATACATCCAGACGCCCCTCCTTAACTGCGATCTTCTCAACGACATCCCAGATCGCCTTCTGGTTGGTCACGTCCACCGAGACGTATTCAAGCCTGGGATCACCTGCCAGCCCAAGTTTTGACACATACGCCTTGGTTGCCCCGAAAGATTTATCGGGCTCAACAGGGAGATCGAGACAGTATACTGCTGCTCCTGCCTCTGCAAGTGCCTCAGCCATCTCGAGACCCAAGCCTCGCTGGCCGCCAGTGACAACTGCAACACGATCAGCAAGCGAGAACTCCTTCTCTAATAGAGTGGGTCTGGGTTTGAAGGACGGATCGGATGCAGCGCGAAGCGCAGCTTCAACTCCAATGGGACCATTTGGAGGGAGCTGATGAACATTCGAATAGCGCGCTTGCGCTGATACGTTTAGTACCCTAGACGCTACTGCAATACAAGCCTGAGCATGTCGAGGGGACAAGGATCTCTTGCAAACAGCCGAGAAGACCATGGACATGGTAAGCGCTGGGAAGCACACACGCCCGGAATCATGCTAAGCATCTTTAAGAAGCTTTTACAGTGGAAAAACGCAACATTGATGAGACATGGTCAGATGGTACGTGTCTTCTCGATCGAAGCACAATGGCTGGAGAAGCGGCTCGTCATATACGTTCAGTGATACATCCGTTCCCGCGTCCTTCCGAGGATCAGATAGCTTTGTGTGCAGTACAACATTGGTAGGCTCTTTCGCGATTCCTACGAATGTCTCGCAAAACGAACAGCGATTACGACAAAACAGCTTGAAAAGGGCCTCTACAATGTCGTTACTTCGTAGACCAGAGTGCTATGACGTCTTCAACCAAGATACAGCACTTTTGTTGAGCTACATAACGATCACAGCAGAGCGAGAAAACGCCAAACGGCTCACCATACCCACATAGCACCAGCAGAAGCGTAATAAAAAAATTTACACTTGTTACCAGATAGAATTGAAGAAAGCCATGATTTCAGAAGGACGTCGTCAAAGACAAACCCTTGGCTGACACACTGCTGCCTTGAACGTCAGGCTCGTGCACCATCCATTGTACCAGCGGAAACATGGCGGTAAACGTTTCGAGCTGCACGTAGGACGATAGGGTGCTTTGGGACCAAGGCATTCGAGATATCAGGACATCCAAAGATAGGACTAGTTTTCCGCGTCGAGTGTCATGTACGCAATCCCGTCGAAGCTTGTCCAATACCTTCGTCAAATTCATCTAGTCACTCTCGCGCATTGCAACTTCGCGTCTTCTGAAAGTATCAGAGAGAAAAGAAAGAATCAATGTGCACACGAGACCTTTCAGAAAACAAACTCGGTAGGAAATGCAACATGTCAGCAGCGAGGAAACGACGCGCGACAGAACAAAATGCTGCATTAGGAACCCAACCTCGTCTACATATTCATATTTGGTAGGTTAAGGCTAATATTGCTACGTAATTACCGACTGCGACAATCAC